TGGGGCCGGCGGGGAGCCCCCGGGGGTGTGCCCGAGCCCGGGGCTCGGCGCCGGGTCCCGTTGTCTGGAGCATCCCCAGCCGAAGGCGAGGGCCGGGCAGGGCCTCCGTCCTCCGCCGCTCTCTATTTGTGCCCGGGTTTTCTCTTGCAGGTCCATGAATCATCCTCGCAGGGGTCCCAGCCTTCTCCCGCCGCCAGCTCAGGCTACGAGTCCTCCACCCCTCCAACCATCGTGTCTCCGTCCACAGAAAACCAGACCGCCAGCTCCTTATCCCCTTCCTCCTCCGCAGTCCACCACACGTCCAGCCACAGCACGCTTACATCAAATTTTAACGAATGGTACGTCTAAAACGCTAAAACAAAACAACAAAAAAACACAAACCGAAACAAAACAAAAAAGCCCCAAGCGAGCAAACAAATACCCTATTTAAAGACTCCAAAAATAATGAACACTTTGAAATCAGAATTTGAATGGGCAAACAAAAATAAAATGCTGCCAGTAGACACAGGACTGAGTAAAATGAAGACTTCATTTTAAATTTTTTTTTCTTCCTTTTCGCCCCCTCTTTTCTATTTCTCTTTCTTCTTTTTTTTTCCCCCTTTTTTATTTCCTTTCCTTTTTAATTTTTTTTTCTCCTTTTTTTTTTTTTTTTTTTTTTTTTTTTTTTTTTTATTTTCTGTGTGCGTGTTTTTGTCTCATCTCTTTATTAGGCTTGGAAATCTCATGGGATGGAGACAGTTTTGTGGAAGTCATGGCTGCGCCGCATCTGAAGGGCAAACTCTGTGGGCTGTGTGGCAATTACAACGGGCACAAGCGAGACGTCGAGGTGGTGGGGGGGCACAGGGAAGAGGTAGAAATTCAACTATTTGTACTGAATGGCAAGAATGTTCTAGTAAATGTGTACCAAAATGTGAATTACTTTGTATTATTACAGTCTAAACGTCGATCTAACAGAATATTATTGGTATTAATGTGCTTTTTTGTATAAAGTGCAACATTTCGTCCCAAAGTCCAGTCTAAGTAGTGCAGTAAAATGTTGTTACACGTCCTGTCAAGAAATTCGTATAGTGAAAGCCTGGATCTGCGTGTCAAACTGTTACATTTGTTTATGTAAAGTGATATTAAAAAAAAAAAAAAAAAATATAAACTATATCTGTCCGTTGCTTTTGGCAAATACAAGAACATAATGTATATAAATCCTAATTTCCATATTTATCCGCATGTAAAGGTCCGGTTATACATGTTACAAGATATTCAATATTTATGGCTAGAAGAATTGGTATGTAAAATTTAGTTTACAGAACTGTTTGGTAACATTTCGTACCTTATTAAAGATTCTTAAATCCCATGAATTGTGGTAGGAATTCTTATTCGCTAAGTCAACCTGCTGCAACTCCAACTAGCTTTAGGATATTAGAATAAAACTGTCCCAGTTTTTCACTGCTTTCCATTTTTTCCCCCCTTTTTTTTTTCTTTTCTTTTTAATTTTTTTTTCTCCTTTTTTTTTTTTTTTTTCCTTTTTTCTTTTCTTTTCTGTTCTGCTCTGTTCCAAGGCTTGGTAGGCGAAGGGGTTAGTAGGATGCATAAGAAGACAAGGTTACCAGGGCAAATGCCAACTGTGTAGGGCTTTACTGGAAACCACTGATTAGAGATCTCCAACTGCATGTCTGCTCGGGCAGCGGCCTTCCCCCCCATCCCCTCTTGTAAATACAGAATTATTAGCTTCAAAAACAAAACAACAAAAAAATGTACTGTTTGATTTTGTAAATAAAAAAAAAAAAAAAAGATATAAACTATATCTGTCCGTTGCTTTTGGCAAATACAAGAACATAATGTATATAAATCCTAATTTCCATATTTATCCGCATGTAAAGGTCCGGTTATACATGTTACAAGATATTCAATATTTATGGCTAGAAGAATTGGTATGTAAAATTTAGTTTACAGAACTGTTTGGTAACATTTCGTACCTTATTAAAGATTCTTAAATCCCATGAATTGTGGTAGGAATTCTTATTCGCTAAGTCAACCTGCTGCAACTCCAACTAGCTTTAGGATATTAGAATAAAACTGTCCCAGTTTTTCACTGCTTTCCATTATGTCATCACTAAAGCAGCGAAGGTGATATAAATGTGATAAATGAAAGGATCCCTGCTGGCATTACTATAGTGTGTAATTAGTATTTATATCAAAATTTATGAAACAAATTTTCGGCCGCAGTATAATTTAAATGACCTTTGCAGACATAGAATAACAACCATAAAAATAACAGAAATAGATTGCATAGGCTACATAAATATTAATGTGGGGAATTGTTACACGAGAAGTGCTGCACTCCACTCCAACACTGCCCATGAATCTGCATAGACTGGGTCCCTAAATTAAATTAATTCGGATAACATATATTAGGAGATTTAAAACAGAGGAGATTTCGGTTGCTATTTTAATTTAAGGCATTTATGACCATAACTAATTCTCAGGCAGTGGATTCATGACTTTCCTTGGGCCTTTTACTCCAGGAAGTACAGCACTGTTTCACGAAGGCCGTTGTTGTTGTTTGGTATATTTTTTGTTTTGGTTTTGGGTTTTTTCTTTTTCTTTTTTTTTTTTTTTTTTCTTCCTTCCTCTTTTTTTTTTTCCCCCTGATATTCCTTAAAACGTGATGTTAATTTAAATCAATTACTTCTTATGTTATGTTATTATTATTACTATAATTTTGCCAGTGTTAATAGCTTTCTAAAAAAATAAATCTAGGGGGTAAGAATTATTTTATGTAATTTGATTATCTTTCTATCTCTTTTATTTATTTCTCATTTACTTAAGAAATTCGTTCCATTGGCTGGCGTTGATACAGTAAATTTGTAAATGAGAAGACAATATAAAAAATCTAAATTACTTGTGCTTAATGACTGTAGCAGAACGCCTTTTCTCTAAATCAGATTGTCTTCCTTGCAGTTTAGTTTGATAGATTTGCAAGCTGTACTGCTTCCACTAACTTAGCTACGGTTGTTGGAACTGTTGGGCTTTGTTCCTGGTTGTAGCTTGCATGATCGCCCCATTAAGCAGACAACATATCAACAGACAACACAAATCATGAGGTTGGCTAAAGCTGCGAGGGCTTGTGATATGTCATAGAGTGAATTGCACAAACTGACCTTCCAGTAGACCAAGATGACACTTTAACAGCTTCTTTAAAGAAATATTATGTGTACAGCGAGTCAATAGCCGTATTAACCGCTCGGGGGGGGGAGGGGG